TGTGTCGTGGCATCGGAGTAAGTGTTTGGTCTAACCTTAGCTTAAGGGATTAGGAGTTGTGCCCTATTTGCTATGTGTTATTTGATGAGTACGACGTATAGGCATGGTGACGAGTATCTATACGTTGGTGTCAAGCATGCCCGTGAGTCTTATGTTATGATTAATGTGACTCCGTTTGTATTGTTCATGATTAATGTGATGATTGCTATTATTGAGCAATGCTTGTGGAAAGAATATTGGTATTTGAACATTGAAGAGCATTAGCTCAAGTTGTAAAGTGATTTGTGGAAGTATAATTTAATTGAACCTTATAGAGCATTGGCTCAAATTGTGAATCGAGTCATGAAGTAAATGTGAAAAAGAGAAGAGAATTATGATATTGTCTCCCTTGCCGGGATATTGTTGTTAATGTTATCTCCCTTGCCGGGATGTTATTATTTTGATCTTGTTTTCCCTTGTCGGGATATGATTGTTGTACTATTGTTCCCTTTCCGGGATTTGATTGTGAATTTGTTGATCTCCTTGCCTTTATTGCTTTGTGATTGTTGCTTGGGTGAGGAAGAGTGTTAAAGCACGAAGGGTGATGCCGTGCATTGTTTTGGTGAGAGAGTGTTAAAGTACGAAGGGTGATGCCGTGTATGATTTAGTGAGGAAGAGTGTTAAAGCACGAAGGGTGATGCCGTGCTGCACGATGTACCATTCCGTGCCGATTATATTTTATGGTGAGGACGAGAGTAAAAGCACGAAGGGTGATGCTGTGCAGATTATATTGATTCTTATGGTGAGGACGAGAGTAGAATCACGAAGGGTGATACCGTGCAGATTATATTGATTCTTATGGTGAGGACGAGAGTAAAAGCACGAAGGGTGATGTCGTGCATTTGTTTGATTTCTGATTCTTGTTGAAAATTGAGTTATGATGTTTCTTATATTTACCTGATGTTCTCCGGTTATCATTTGATGTTTCCCGAGGTTTCCCCGCAGCATGTTTCCCCCTCCCATCCTTGACTGTACATTTCTGATTTTACTTTTCCGTTGTAAATGATTTAACTGCACAGGTTTATTTGATAGTCTGGTCCTAGCGTCGTCATTACTTCGCCGAGGTTAGGCTAGGCACTTACCAGCACATGGGGTCGGTTGTGCTGATACTACACTCTGCACTCTTTTATGCAGATCTCGGTGCTATAGCTTCGGACCGCAGTGAGATTGCTGCTTCTCGTTCATCAGGCGACCCGAGGTAGTCCTGCAGGCGTCCGCAGGTCTTGGCGTCTCCTTCTATCTTTTTATCCTGTTTCTCTCATGTATTTCCAGAGACAGTGTTGTATTACTTTTTTTCAGACCTTTATTTGTAGTACTCCTAGACCGTCTGTGAAGTTGTGACAGCAGTCTTGGGTAGATTTATTATGGATTGGTATTACTAGTATTATTAAAACATTGCAATTCAGTCTCCCGCTTATTAAATTCTGTTGTTTATTAAATATTGGTTCTTAATTGTTAATGGAATAAAAATGGAAACAAGGTAAATAATTCAACTGGTCGGCTTGCCTAGCTTTCACTAGTAGGCGCCATCACGACTTTCGAGGGTGGAAAATCCGGGTCGTGACATGAGGTCAACCCCTTCAGTCACTTGTCAGTCACCTTGTCAGTGCTACTATCATCTTGAATTCTCAAAGGACTGTATCTATTTCTTCTTAGCAGATTTTCTAAGTTTGTATCTGAGAATGCTCCCTTCTGTTGTACCTGTCCTTGAGTCTTCATCATCTGCTTTCCTCTATCCTTTTGTTGTGGAGGTTCTGCTGCTATGATTTCCTCCTGATTAGAGGATTGTTCAGGTATAGCCTCATGTTGTTTCTGGGATTGCTCAGTCACAACCTTCACTCTCCATTGAGTTGTTGGTTGTTTCTTTTTCTGCTGTCTCTTTGCTTTCTCTTGATGTTGTTTGGGTGGCATTTGGTTTTCTTGAATGTCAGCCTGCCTCTGGGCTTCTTGTATCTTTGTGCATTCCTCTGTATGTTGCCCTATCTGAAGGCACTCCTCACAATATGCTGGTTTCCGTTCATATGCCAGCTTTTGTTCCCTGCATTTTCTACCTGCCACTTCAATCAACATCGTATCAGGCACCTCCTGTGAGATATCCATTTCTACAAGTATTCGTTCATAGGAAATTCTATCACACTGAGCTGTTAGCTTATCTAAACAGATAGGTTTCCCTAGATAATTTGCAATTCGACCCAAATTCTCCTTTGTCCAGTACTGAATTGATAAACCTGGGAATATTACCCAAATAGGAACATTTCTAGTCATTTCCTTGCTCAACTGTAAGTCAGGCTCCCACTGTTTTAAGATCATAGGTCTATTTTGATACGTATAGGGCCCTTTGTTGGATAATTCAATTCCCATCCTCCTCCGAATTGAATCGAAAGATGAAATAGCCCTCATCCTGTAGGTATACCTGCGGAGTATTGACTGAACTCCACACACCATACACGAACTTAAGCATTTCTTTGAATGTGGATGAACCACCCAGAACATACCCACTTAGAGCTGCCCTCCATTTATGAGTTTGTTCATCCACTTCATTTTGATTCAATCTAACAACCTTTATCCCTTCCTTCATTATCGGCGGATAATACTCCAATTTAAGCCCTTGTTGCTAGATACTCCAATTTAAGCCCTTGTTGCTGAGATCGATTCCCTTGCACTACAACAACCATCGATGGAACTGGCTGGCTAGGGTTTCCGTCTGCGTTGAGAATGTCAATTTCCTTGCCGCTGTGTTTGCATCTACTTCCACTTGCTTGGGGACTTCCATTTCATTACATTTTGAAGTTTGCATCATCGTAGGGGCACTCCTCATTCCTGTCATTCATTGGACCAATCGAATTTTTCCTAATTCTTGAGGTACTCCTGATTCCGATGTTACCAGTCTACTTCCTCCTTCCGTCTCCGGTATAGTAGGCGATGCACTGCCTTGAGATTTCTGTCGAGCCATGGCTGTATGCGTACGTTAGCTAACCTTTCTTAACGTGTGCGTTTAGAGCCATTCAGAGCCTAAAGTTACCAGTTTAGAGAATTTTACATTATCAATGTATATAACTTAATCTACTAGTCCTAATTCATAATTTTCCCATCAACAACTTCTTCTTTTTCTTTGCTTTTTATATTTCCTAAATTATGGGCCTTCTAAAATTTCCGACTTTGTACATTTCAATCCACCAGTAACAATCAATAAAACGAAAATGAGGAGAAAAGAAGACGGGATTTAGAACACAATTACTCCTATCTAAGATATAGAGTAGTTAAGGGCTTGACTAAGTAGTAGATATGGGATTGAGGGGCGCAGGAGTAGGGTTTACGAAAAGAAGGCTCCGGGTTGTACTGGGTATGCATTCGATTTATCGATTCGATTTTGACCCTTATCGATAATTACTTATCGATTATCGATTTGTACATATGCTTATCGTTATCGTTTCAATAAGGTTTCGATTTTTTCGATTTCGATTTATCGATTTTAGGGGCTTATCGATTCGGTTATCGATTACACCAATAAGAAAATTTGCGGGATTCCACGGAAAGTATATCGCTATAAACGCGCCTAACTAATATGGACAAAAAGAAGCTAAAATAAGACGAACACCATTTATAATATAAAAATTGTGTCAACAAGCACATGCAACAAAACTAAAGTAAGGGATCAAATGTATGCGAACCAACACTCCAACGGTATAAAAAAACAAAACAAAACAAAACACATCATCACAGCTAATTCTGTTTTCCATTAATTTGAACTTCATTCCCTTGATCTTTAAATATGATCATTCCTTAAATGTGGTAGAGGAAATAATAGGGTAAGGGACTTAGGGTAAAGGAAAGGGTATAGATTAGGGAAAATAATATTGTATAGCCGCTTTCAAAATAGTAGCGGAATATATATACATTCTGTATGTTATATTAATCTACACAAATAGGTAATTACTCATTTAACAAGTGTCTACAGTCTAGGGGTGTGCATTCAATTTATCGATTTGATTTTGACCCTTATCGATAATTACTTATCGATTATCGATTTGTACATATGCTTATCGTTATCGTTTCAATAAGGTTTCGATTTTTTCGATTTCGATTTCGATAACAAATAATCGATTCGATTTATCGATAAACCGATTCGAATGCACACCCCTACAGTCCTATTATACTAGAGGACTGGTTATTGGATAGTTTTAATGGGACTTGCTCGGGTTATGGTCACTGAACTTTGTCCAATATTTCGACAAAAGAACTTTTATTCATTATAACAGTAAGTCTTAAAAGCTTTTTTTGTCATATTAAATTGAATTAATTTTTCCCGCTTCAACAATAGTGACAAAACTATTTTTGCCACATTAAAGTCATCGATTTAATTATCTACTACAACACTAAAATCACATAATTTTACCCAGTATAATGGTAAAATCACCTTAACAGATAAGTTTGTTATTATAGTGGATGAAGTTTAGCGACTATTGAATGAGTAAAATTAAGTTACTTTAACGTAATAAAAAATATTTTCGTGACTTTATTGTTATTATTATTATTATTAAAATATAGTAACTTTATTATGATAATGAGTAATATTCTATGACATTAATAAGATAATTTTGTAACTTGTTGTAACAAAGATCACGATCATGAAATTTACCCAAATTGCTATCTTGGAATTTTTTTATTTGTTCTTTGGTAGCAAACGAGAAGTATTGTTCCCGAAATACTGAACACTGAAGCTGTGCAGTGTATTGAAAATTGATGTAGTGCCCGGTAAGCAAAGTTGCATTTTGCACCATTTTCCAGTTCGCACGATATATGGAGATTCTACACAAATAATCGGAGCTATTAATTTAGTATCAATACCATTAAACTACGTGTAAGCAAAGTTGCCGGTTGCACCATGTTCCAGTTGAGATCTCTTTATATACAACAGATTATATTCTACAAAAACCAAGCAAAACAGTAAAGCTAAACAATTGGGGAGAACCAAAGTTTGTGGCTATTCAACAGAAAAGGGCCATCTGGCTTTTCGTATACGTCTACTGCTGAAGAAGTCACCCATGGAATCAACGGCTCTGGTCTCACTGCCATTGTTACAGGTTCCACTCTCCTTTCTCAATTTCACTTTCTTTTGTGTAAAACAAATATTAGTATTCTCTTTTGGTGGCATGCAATAGGTGTTTGTATATATGACTATTTCTTTTAAGTCTACATTCAGCTCTTTGCTATAATGACTTTAAATTAAAGTGTGACACTTTCATGGATTAAGTATATAAGTATTTATCAATTTCTCCTTGAAAATATGTGTTGCTTTGCATATATTTTTTGTCCTATACATGGACATATAATTACACGAGATATAGCGGCGGAGCCACCCTTCTAGAAGGGGTGTCGCTGGAAAAATTACACTATGTAGATAGGTAAATTTGTTCTTATGTACATATATATATATATTATGTGTTTGATTCCTCTTGACTTCTTCGTGTGTATACTTCTTTATATTTTGAATACCTTCGGTGAAAGTTGGTGAATGTTTCGGGCAAATCCCAAGCAAGTTGGAGATGAATCATTCCATTTCATTTGGGCGCCTATCATTCGACTACTCAATATATAGTTTGTCTCGTAGGATAACTTAGATTCTATAGCACTAAGGATTCTCGAAATTTATGCCCCTTTCTATACTGTCACACTATCTTTAACTACACTTGAAAAGACTCCTGTCAAACAGTGAGCTTTATATAAATGTGTGAATAACGACTAGCCTTATTCTAGCTCGTTGATATCACCTACACAAATATATGCTTGGCTTCCATTCTGCTATGTTTTTCACTAAGTCCGCATGTATTTCAAGAACTTTATTTGTTTTGGTCTTTTATGAAAACTTTCCTCCATATGATTGTTGGTTTACCTCGAATTCTTTTTACACCTTCAATAGTCATGTTACCAGCTACGGATCAGTAATAATGCAGGAGTGGGGGGAATTCCCTTTATGCTTTCCAAAGACAACATAGAGCTGCAATTTGCCACAAATCACCTAGGTACGACTGTTGTTCTATGTATGTTTCTGCGCAATATATCGATCATAGAATGAGGAACAACACAATTGGACCATTCTACGAGGAGAAGATATATTTTTTATGTTTGCAGTAAAAGAGAGCTCGAAATATTTGTAACTTTTTTTAATTCCAGCAACAGTTCATTTTAAAGAATAAAGCATCTAATCTAAATATAATGTATCTCCGTTCCTATTTTTACTGAAATGAAGATTCAGTTCTCACTTAAAAGGAGATCAATAGTCAATTCTCAATAATGTCATATTAGGCTTTAGTGATAAAATCCACACATATAAGAGATCATCTGAGACCTGAATCAACATGTATATGTAAGATTTAAACAAGTGAGATAAAGCGTGATTCTAAGATCACACTGGTAAGAGGCAGTTCATGCCCCCTTGTCCGTACTTTATTATCCGACTCTTCAGTAATACAACGTACGCATGACAATTGACAAATATATCAAGGTTGGTAGTACATTGCAGACAGATGATAGGCGGTTGATAATTCCAAAAGTAACCAATTATTCTTTTTTCTTTGTGTTTGCAGGTCATTTTCTTTTGACAAATTTGTTGTTGGACAAGATGAAGGAGACAACACGTACAACAAAGAGAGAGGGAAGGATTGTGAATCTTTCCTCACGGCTTCATAGATTGGCATATAGCAAGGGAATTCAGTTTGACAAAATTAATGACCCCAAAAGGTAATCTTACTATATTAGATGCCGAATTTCCAAAAATTTTCCTTGATGGTTATTATCAAGTGAAAACCGTGTTCACTCAAATTCATCACTTTCTCAATGAGATCCTGGAAATTTGACAATTACTGTCTAATAGCTTCAGCAGTTCCATGCTGAGTGTATAATATATGGAATATGGATTTCCGTCGCCATCATACCAGGATTATTACTCACAATTCGTTACATGTTCTTAGTGGACCATATCTCTTATTAATTTTGGTGTCCTAGATTTTCTAACAGCACCTTGAAGTTCCTGTTGCAATATGTTATAGATGTATTAGTGTCACTTGTATTTGAACTTCAATATGAATTATTTTATATTATCCTTTATTTCCAATCACATCATTTGAATGATCACTTATCTTATTTGGTTTCACTCAATCTCAATAGTTGCTCATTACTACTATACAATTAATAAAGATGACAAGCTTTTCTGGCTCAAAATTGAAGATTCATTGCTATCTATTTCACTTCAAGCTGCATAACCATTCCTGTGGAAACTTATTCGTCGTTGTCTAAATTGTTTGTTACTTATGTGAAGCTACAACATCATCGGTGGATACAGCCAATCAAAGCTGGCCAACATACTGCATGCAAATGAGCTTACAAGACGCTTAAAGGTGTGTTTTTCAGAAAATAAATCTTACATACTACTTTTCATTCTGACTTTATCTTGGCAATTCTTGAGTAGTCATGATTTGCCTCCATTCCTCGAGAGACAAATACATATATAGAGTGAATTTTTGGGCGTTCCTTTTCGCACATCAAGATATTCTTGGTTTCCAGTCTCTGCCTTTTGTAGCCCAATTATAACTTTGGTTGAGTGGTCCATGCAATTCAATTAAACTCTAAAAATTTGACTGATCTTTATTTCGAACAGGAAGATGGAATTGAAATAACTGCAAATTCACTTCATCCCGGAGAAATCACAACCAACATTTTTCGTCATATGGGTGTTGTTGATGGTAATAGAAAGATTCTCTTTTCGTTCTTTTTCTATATAGTAGCTGGTGTCTGGTATGTTAGTATGCTTGCTAACTTATTCCTTTATGTCTGTAAGAAAGCCTCTAGTGCTCTCACTAATACTAATAAGTCACGGCATAATGAGCCAAAGGCAGTCGCATAATGATTTGTACCTTTCCGGTGCATCATTAGCTCTTTTTTTTTCCTTCCACATTTGACAAATTAATCCGTAAGTTTGTGTTGACCAGTCGCATAATGATATATTTCATGCCCCTGAAAATGAAGCAGACATGAAATACTCGTTTCTCCTTATTTCGCTGAATTTATGCTCCCTTTTCTGTATGCTACAGGTCTTGTAAGCACGCTTGGTAAATTTTTGTTCAAAAATGTTCAACAGGTATGTTCCGCATTGAAGCATTTAACATTGCAGTATGCACATACAATACAACTTATTGCTATCAGAAACTTCTTTTTTTTTTTTTTTAAGTGAGGCACAAAATAAAATTTTTCCTTGTTGGCTAACACACATGGCCTTTGCTCAGAGCCTCAGACCAAGAATATGACTCACTAAAAGAGTACAAACCATGATGCCATGACAAATGACGAGTTTAACCTTTGTGTTTCCTCTTCAATAGGGAGCATCAACCACCTGTTATCTTGCATTGCATTCACAAGTGAAGGGGGTAAGCGGTGAATATTTTCAGGACAACAATTTGGCCACGCCAACAGCGATGGCTAAGGACGTGGATTTGGCTAAGAGACTTTGGGATTTTAGTATGGCTTTGGTCAAGTAACATCTAACATGTACCAATAAAACAGAAAAGTAACTTTGTATTTGTTAGGTGTTTATCTTATTAACAATACTTATTACATTAAGAGTTGGAGATGAATTTCGGGCAGTAATCTTACTATATCATTTGTTTGGGAGAATTCGAGAGAGGATTAAGAACACATTTATTATACTTGTGAACCAATTCGATGAGAAGAAAAGACCATTTCTCTTTCTTGTTATAGTTTATTACTGTATAAATGATAAATAGTCTAGAAGAACTTCTAATAGAATGGTAACAACTTGTTTTAATAGAAAGAGCCAATCAATTAACGAGCCAATCAATTAACGGAAATGTTGAAATCTCCTCTATGGTAATTTCATGTGCTCCACATTAGAGTCCAATTGCGCCAAAATTTCACGGTATAGCCAGTTTTCGGACTGGTCAATCAAAAATAGCCAGTGTTTACCAAGTCAATGAAAAATAGCCACCGTTTTGCTGCAATAGAGACCGGTCCAGCATAATATACTGGAGTTCGGTGCACTTGTGTATGAACTCCAGCATATTATGCTGGACCGGTATACTTTGCTGGCTCCAGTATAATATACTGGAGACTGGAGCACTGGTGCTCCAAACTCCAGTATATTATACTGGACCATTATACTTGCTGGAACTCCAATATATTATGCTGAAGTTCTAGTGTATTTATGCTGGAACTCCATCATATTATGCTGGAGTTCCAGCATACTATCCTGGAACTCCAGTATAATATGCTGGAGTTCAAGTATACTTATGCTGGAACTCCAGCATAATATACTGGAGTATTTTTCGGGTTTTGAAAGTGTTTTCGCTCAGATTTATCTTTACATAAAAAGTGGCTAAATTTCGATTACTTTTAAAATTGGGCTATTTTTGAACGACCAGTTGTAAATCTGGCTATTTTTAAAAATCACCCTCCAATTGCTCAAATGGTCACTCAACTATCTCAAATTATCTCCTAAAGTCACTTTACTTTCGTTGTAACAACAAAGTCACTGAACTATGCCTATTGCACTCAGAAGGTCACTCAACTACATTTTTCGAATTTTGCATCGCCAAATACCTATTTTACCCTCTAAATTATAAACATTTATCTTCTTTTTATTTTTTTTAAACTTTTTAATATTATGATTTTCTCTTTTTAATTTATATTTATGGACTTACCTATAGAATAACAAATATTATTTATAAATTAAAAAAATAGAAAGTATTTAAACATATATAATGCTGGAATAACAAAATAATGAGCATAGTAAAAAAATTAATTAGAATAATTTGTTAGTAATAATATTTTTAGTATTAACAACAAAAATTCAAAATATATTTACACAATTCAGAATGAAAATAAATATTGTAAAATATATATTCCATGCACCTAATATTAAAATGATTATTTAAATAAAGGTATTTCTATAATATACATTATATATTCTTGAAAATTATGCTCAATTATATTATTATGTTTCTACCAACTTTCCGACGATACAAAATTATATCACCGGAAGCAGGGGGACTATCTGTATAGGGTAAAATATGTTATGTTAAGTCGTGCATGAAATATATATAATATAATTGAGCATAATTTTCAAGAGTATATAATGTATATTATAAAAATACTTTTATTTAAATAATTATTTTTATATTACGTGCATGGAATATATATATTTTACAACCTTTATTTTCTTTCATCTGAATCGTGTAAATAAATTTTTGAATTTTTGTTGTTTATAATATTATTATTACAAATAAATTATTCTAATTAATTCTTTTACTATGCTCATTATTTTTTTATTCCAGCATTATAGATGCTTAAATAATTTTTATTTTTTTAATTTATAAATAATATTTATTTATTCTATAGGTAAGTCCATGATATAAATTAAAAAAGGAAAATTATAATATTAAAAATTAAAAAAAAAAATAGAAGATAAATATTATTTAGAGGGTAAAATAGGTATTTGGCAATCCAAAATTTTAAAATCTAGTTGAGTGACCTTCTGAGTGCAATAGGCATAGTTCAGGGACTTTGTTGTTACAAACGAAAGAAAAGTGACTTTAGGAGATAATTTGAGATAGTTGAGTGACCATTTGAATTATTGACTCCTCCACGTTATTACAAGTTGGACTAATGTTGATTTTGGAACAATGAGTATCGGGCACAGCCGTGCATTTGCTTATTTTTTATCTTTATCTTTTAAATTTAAATGCATGTCAAGTTGTGTAATATGGAATTGTCCAATCTCCGCGATGACATGGAAATCCCAGAAACTGAAAGAAGAAGATGGAAGAAAAGAGAAACACAATGAAAATTCATTGTTGTTAAGAAAGGGTGGAAAGACAATTTGTATACGATATTTAGACTTGCTCATTGCATATTATACTTTTTCTTGTTGCTATTAAGCCAACTCAAGTTACAGTTAGATACTCAATAATTTTTTTTCTTTGAAAATTTTCAAAGAGATTTTAAGTATATTCATCATTAAGTGTGTGTTCAAAAAAAATTTAGTTTTTAATACATAAATCATGTTTAAAGAAAAAACTCAAATAATTAGTCAAGTTGACGCCAGTCAACCGTTGACCAAGAAACTAGAGACAATAATTGCACCTACTAGCGGCTTACATCACCTTAATAGGTAGGTTTATTATTATAGTGAAATTGTATTTGATATTATAATGATAAAGTTAAATGAATTAGGAATGTGACTTATTCTTTATTCTCATTGGGTAGCTACGTTAACAATGGCAACTTTTTTTTTTGGTCCAAGAGAAACACTATACAATATTAAGGAGGAAACATACAGGGAAGTCCAATTGGTACAGTTACATCATTTTGCAAAAGTCTAAAAGGAGGGGGATGACTCGAAGACGAGTCATTACCAAAAGTGTGATTTGTGGAGGAGGAAGCAGTGGTCACAGTAGAACTAGTTGTGACATGGCCTAAATGAAGTCTTCCAGAGAGGTCATCTTGCAACATATCATGGACAAAAAGTGGAGGATCAGCAAAAAAGGTCACGGAGTTGGACGCCATGTGCAAGCAGCCAAATTCAGCAAGCTTGTCAGCAACTCTGTTTTGTTCCCTATATGTATGTAGTACATGTGGATCACCCAGCTGGCGCAATATCAACCTGTTGTGATGACCCGAAAGGTCATCTCGTGTTTTAGAACCCAATTCGGGGGTCCGAGGCCTTCAAAACCTTATTTTCTTTCTTCTCGATTTGCGTGCACAGTTCGGACGCGTTTTCGAAAAGCCGTCATGTGAAAATTTGAGAAATATTAAGTTTTGCCTTTAAAAGTTGATTTTAGTTGACTTCGGTCAACATTTTGAGTAAACGGACCCGGACTCGTGTTCTGACGGTCCCGGAGGGTCCGTAGTAAAATATGGGACCTGGGCGTATGCCCGGAATCGAATTCCGAGGTCCTTAGCCCGAGAAATGAATTTTTGATGAAAATTGTTAAACTGGAAATATAAAGGTTTTAAGAATTTGTTTAATAATTGATTTTGTGGATACCGGGTCCGTATTGTGGTTCCGGAGCCCGGTACAGGTCTGTTATGATATTTGTACTTTATCTTTGAAATTTGGTGAGAAACGGGACTGATTTGACGTGATTCGGACCTTTGGTTGAGAAAATAGAACTTTTGAACTTTCTTGAAAATTTCATGCAATTTGATGCTAAATTCGTAGTTCTAAGTGTTATTTTGGCGATTTGATCGCGCGAGCAAGTCGGTATGATGTTTTAAGACCTGTGTGCATATTTGGTTTGGAGCCCCGAGGGCTCGGGTGAGTTTTGGATAGCTACGGGTTGATTTGGACTTAGAAAATCTGGTATTTTTACTGCAGCAGTGGTTCTGATATGCCCTTCTTCGCGTTCGCGTAGGTAGTCTCGCGAACTCGAAAGGTAAAGAGGGGCAGAGGGAAATTTCTTTTTCGCGAACGCGAAGGACAGGTCGCGGACGCGGAGCAGCGGGGGCTTTACCCTTCGCGAACGTGACCCGTCTACCGCGAATGCGAAGCATGGGACCTGGGTGAGGGGAAGTTAACTCATCGCGAACGCGACACTTGGATCGCGAACGCGGAGGCTGGGGGGGATATGCCTTCGCAAACACTATGTGTTACTCGCGAACGCGAAGGCCAATAGGGCCAAAGCTTCGCGAACGCGAAGTAGACCTGTCCAGTGTTTTAAAAACAGAATCAAAAACGGGAAAGGGTCAAATTTTCATATCTTCTTCACTAGAACTCGGCCTAGGGCGATTTTTGAAGAGGGATATCAACACCAATTCATAGGTTTGTGTTCTTCAACTCATTTCCTTCAATTACCATCAAAACCCAATAGATTTTTATCCCTAAATCTTGTTCTTTCATGGTAGAATTAGGGATTTTGGGAAAAAATGGGGATTTTGCAAATTTGGGAATTTAGACCTCGATTTGGGGTCGGATTCCGAAACTAATTACATATTTGGGCTCGTGAGTGAATGGGTGAACGAGTTTTGGTCTGAACCTCGAGTTTTGACCAAGCGGGCCCGGGGTCGGTCTTTGACTTTTTGGGGAAAATGTTAGGAAACCTATAATTGTGTATTGAAATTGATTTCTTTAGCAATAATTGATGTTATTAAGTTAATTATGACTAGATACGAGTGATTCGGAGGTGGAAACTAGAGGAAAGACGGTGATTGAGGCTTGAGTTCGGCCGTGGAATCGAGGTAAGTGTTGTGGCTAACCTTAGCTTGAGGGATTAGGTGTTGTTGCCTTATTTGCTATGTGTTTGGTTGTGGATTACGACGTATAGGTGATGTGACGAGTACCTATACGTTGCCGTCGGGTCATAGCGTGCGAGTGAGCCTTATACTTGTGATCGATGAGGATGTGCATAGATTATCGGTAGTTGAACAAAGTCACCATTAAGAACAAGTATCCATTGCCGATGATTGATGATTTATTTGATTAGCTTCAGGGTGCCAAGGTGTTTTCAAAGATCGATTTGAGGTCTGACTACTATCACTTGAGGATTAGGGCATCCGATCTCCCTAAGACACCTTTTGGGACTCGGTATGGGCATTATGAGTTCCTAGTGATGTCATTTGGGTTGACAAATGCCCCAGTAGTGTTCATGGATTTGATGAACCGAGTGTTCAAGCCCTACTTGGATTCCTTTGTGATTGTTTTTATTGATGATATCTTGATCTACTATCGCAGCCGAGAGGAGCATGAGCAGCATCTT